GAGAGCTTTCCTCTGATCTGTAAACAATTCAACATTAAAATCTGTTTTTTACTGATTAAAACTTCTCACAAAAAACAAGTGAGACAAATATGTGAAGAAACGATGACGACCTCACCTCCAGAGTCATGATGACAAACATAATGTTATAATCACAATCACATGAGTAGAATCACATTATTGTCTGTATTCAGTTACCGTGGTTACAGGGTTCAATAATACGACAGTTGAAGGTTTCCTTCAAAGTAGGCTAACTATGAGGAAAGTCCATGAACTTAGGTCAAGTAGAAAGATTAACATGTCCTCAGAATTAGCTTTAATCCTGACAGCAGTGACAGTTCATGTTACAAAGCATTCAATTTGATTTTCATGGAATTATTTAAATCAGAATTCAGCAAAAGACGTTTCTGTCCCTTAAGAATTCCATTAGAAACAAAGTTAAAATCTGTGCTGTTATCGTACAAAAGTTTTCATCGTTAGATGAGAAGAAGTTAGCCAAGATACAGCTAACAGTTAGCTAAAAAATGTCAGAAACAGCTAGAAATTAACCTATGTAGCAGAGTAGTTCAGAGCAGAGTGGTTGACAAAGAGTTCGTAGTACAGTTTCATAACCACAGTACGTGGACCTGGATACTGTCTCACCCTCTGTCTCACCCTCTGTCCCTCCTGTGTTTTGGGAGTCAGACACAGAAGTCGTACTGCTTTACACCAATTCCATCCATCTAGGGAAACAGCAGTAGGACGGGGGGAAGGGGGAGACTGGAGTGAGTGAGTGAGAGAGAGAGAGAGAGAGAAGGAGAGAGAGAAAGAGACCTCTAGAGACACAGAGTTTGACTTTCCCACACATAGTGAGAGAGGAGTGGGAGACCTACTGCATCACATGAGTACTGTAGGAGTACAGTAGTATTTGTTCTTTTGTTCTTTTTATATTTGTCAGTTTCAGTATTTGGTATTTTCTTCTTGAGGTGTGTGAATGTTTTCCTGGAATAAGTACACAAAGAACAACCTGAATATAAATTAATCCAAAGATAAACTACTAGATAACAACAACAACAACAACAACAACAACAGCAAAGAAAAAAGACAACAACAACAACAAAAACAACAGCAAAGAAAAAAGCGTCTGTTAATTAGAATTAGCACAGGTTAGCCAAAGTTAGCTAGGAAATAGCTAAAAAGAGTCAAAGCAGAAATAGTTCAGATCCAAACAACACCATAAAATGTATTTCGATAAAAATCTGACATCATCACATCTATAACACCTGCCCTGTGCCGCTGTTGGCCCCAGAACCAGAGCTTGGACATGCCTTATTAACGGCCATCACTTTATAAGAACTCTCTCTATTCTTTATTTTGAATGGTGGGAGGATTTGACCAATCACAGCTCAGATGAACATCACGTGAAAGAGACACTGTAGTTTTTTCACTGCTTCTGTTCCTGGCACCAAGACGCCCACTAGTGGCAACAACCAATAACAGCAGTGGCGTATGAAGAAGGGTGAGATTAGCATAACCTGAAGATCAGATCACTGGTCTTCTTACCAGGACACTGGTCTGGACCAGGTGACAGGATTCGAGGTTTGAGTCCACCAGCTGCCAAGTCACCACTGAGGTGCTCTGACGTGGCACCGTCCCCACACACTGCTCCAGAGGTCACGTTTGGTTGTGTGCAGTGGTGTGCTGTGTCACAGTGACAAGGAGTTCACGTTCCACTTTATTTAAATTAAACTAAAACCAGAAAAACTGAATTGTTTTAGAAGAAATACTTTTACTTTGAAGTTGTAGATAAAATAAAAACTTTTAATCTGACGATGGTCTTTGGTTTTCAGGACACTTTTATCTTAAATAAGTGAAAAGAAAAAGACAAAAGATTCCTTCTTTCTTTCTTTCTTTCTTTCTTTCTTTCTTTCTTTCGTTCTTTCTTTCTTTCTTTCTCAGTCCAGAGCTGGAACTGTTGGGACCGATGTTCCGGCTCGGTGTTTGTTCCTTCTTCTTCTTTGTTGTCTGTTTTTTTTTTTTTGTTTTTTTTGTTTTTGTGGACAACCCTTGTTCACCTACACACACACACACACACACACCGTTACTGATTAGAGAGCTGGGTGAGGGATGGGGAAGGGTGGAGGCAGGAGGCTTGGTCTGCTCCCACGACTCATTAGCATATTTAATTAACCTGGGTGTGGGGGGGGGTGATGGCTGAATAAGGAGGTAGGGGTGCTTGGGTGGAGTGGGGGGCAGTGTGTGAAAGTTTCT